TTCCCACATCCTTTTGCATCCCTAATACCTTGTTTTGTTTTCATGCTTGAAGCTTTATTTTTAGAATGATGACTGGCCTGGATATCTGTGTTCTCTAAAAATCCATATACTGAAATCCTAACCCCTAAGTAAATGGACTAGGTGAAAGATTTTGAGAAGAACATAGACCCTGTCAGCAAACTCCTCATGAGTGGGACCTGTGTCTTTAAAAGAGACCCCTGGAGAGCTAGAAGCCCCTCCCCAATTGCCATCTATGACTCTGAAAACAGGGTCTCACCAGACACTGAACCTGCTAGAGCAGGTCCTGAACCTCCTAGGTTAGTGAATTTTGAGACATTTCTGTTATCTACAGGGGTCTTTATTATGGCATGCCATAATGACTTGAGTGAATAGCCCATAGGGTCAGATCTTTGAACACTTAGTTCCCAGTCCATGGTCTTGCTTGGGGTGTGTGATAGCTAATTTTGATTGTCAACTTGACTACATCTGGAATCAGCTAAAAACCCAAGCAGCGGAGCATGCCTGTGAGGTTATTTGAGATGGAAGACCCTCCCTAACTCTGAGCCAGACCTTCTGCTAGCAGCTCACATGAAAGACCCCAGAAGAAATCCTGCTTTCTGAGACTTGCCCTCACTGTCTGCAAGTTTATCTAGCCTGCTGCCAGGCATCCCCTCAGCAGTGTTAGAGCCTGCTTCTTTGGTCCAGCATAGACTAAGAACCAGCAGCCCTCTAGGACGCCTTCCAGGCTCCAGCACCAGATCAGGACCCAGAAACATAGTCTGGAGGACTAACTGCCTGCTGAATTCTTAGCCTTTCCCTCATGAGACAGCCATTGTTGGACTATCCATGATATATAATTTTATAATATTATATATTAATAATATATATATTCATTCTATCAGTTCTGTTCCCATAGAGAACCCTGATAATATAGAAAGGTTTAGGAGGTGTGGCTTTGCTGGAGGTGGTGGGCTTTTGGAGAAAAAAGCCATGTACTACTTCCGTTCTGCTCTGTGCTCATGGTTGAGGGATGAGCTCGCAGCTTGCCGATCCTGACACCATGCCTGCCGCTTGCTGCCATGCTTCTTGGGGTAGTTTAATATGATTGGCCCCCATAAGTTTGTAGGGGATGGCACTATTAGGAAGTATAACTTTGTTGGAGTAGGTGTGGTCTTGTTGGAGGAAGTGTGTCACTGTGGAGTCAGGCTTGGAGGTCTTCTTTGGCTTCCTTCAGTGTGACGCTCGGTCCACTCCTGTTGCCTTCTGATCAAGATGTAGCCAGTACCATGTCTGCCACCATGCTCCTGACCATGGTGATGCAGGACTGAACCTCTGAGACTGTAAGCAAGCCACCACTGTTAAATAGTTTCCTTATAAGAGTTGCAGTGGACATGTGTCTCTTCACAATAGCAGAAACCCTAAGACACATCCTCATCCTCATGAACTTATATCTCTCTGGAACATAAACCTGAATAAACTCTCCTTTCTATAAACTGCCATGGTCATGGTTTTTATCACAGCACGGAAAAAAAAAAGCAACTGGTATATTTAGCAAAAGGAGAGACACAAATGCTGCTATCACGCTCTGTGTTCTCTTTGGCGACTTCCTTCTCCCAGGGCTGTTTCTATGACTTACTCACACGTCGGAGGCAAGGAGGTCCTTGTGCTGACAGATAGATACTAGGGAACCATTAATATGACACACACAGGGTTGTTCCTTCAAAGGAGGAGATTGAGATAACCTGTTATCCGCCATGGTTAATAGCCTGGTGGTTTTTGCACCGTGACTGAGGCCGTACTGGATCCTTATTGTGAACTTGTTTTTCCAGTCAATCTATAGCACCCACCAGGGGGTCACATGTACTTCACAAGGAGTTTCTGTGTAGTCATGCCCAATCTTTGTTTAGCTTACTTTGTGCTTTATTGTGCACACGGGATTGAGTTATTATCACCAGGAAAGTTTTACCAAATTGTACTGTGCTTAAATATGCCAAAAATAAATTATTTGGAGTCAGACTTACAAAGTTGAAGCAACACTAGCTACTTAGTCATGCTGCATTGAACTCCCTTCTGGCCTCCCAAGGACTGTTACTCTGCTGGCCATTGTGATCACAGAGACACGTACACACATTCATATTACTGTAGAGACTGTAAAATAGTCCGCTGTGTCTTCATACCTTGATTTATTGATCCGGTGATAAAGTTGGGTGGATAGCTGTGATTGTTTGCCTTTCTCCTTAACTGAAGCAATTGGAAAGGAACCCGAATTGTGTCTTGGTATATACATGCAAGAGAGTTATTAAGGCTTGATACCCAAGGATACATATGAAATATAAGCTTTAAAAAAAACTACCTTTTTCTAACTGACAATACCAATTTCACTTCTACCAGGAATATGTTAGAGGTCTTATTGGTTTACATTTTCATCAGTGATTAATGTCAGGAGCCGTGTGACTTCTTCGGGGGACAAGACCTGAGAACAGCACACACAAGTTGTCCTTGTGACAAGGCCCTGGAGAATCTGACCCATTTTTAGCAAGGCCGATGGATAGTTCACGGCATAACTTTGGGCATGACCCCAGGAACAAACATGCTACCTGCTCTTCTCGCTCTCTTTATACAAACCATATTGCTGGCTGCTTCTAGCTTTACTTTCTCAGAGCTGTGGGATAAAATAGTTATTACTTCAAGGAAACTTCACCCTGGTTTTCCTCTGGGTGAGCCAGGGAGGATGTTGTTAAAAATAAACACTGGACCCGATTCAGCCCCTAAAGCCTTTGATGTTTCAAGTGTGACCATGAATTCAGGCTTCTCAAGAACAGGATGTTGCCTTTCCAGTGCACCTTGTGACTAGCCTGAAAGAGTCACAGACATTCATAACAATATTACAAATTATTTGTGTTCTGAAGAGAATGATTTTAACCACAAGGGTCTAGGAGAAATTTTAATAAATAGATCGTAACAGGAGTTAATGGGAACAGTCTAGGAACGGGGAATGAAGCAGAATCATAGAAACCCACACTGCCCTCACTGGGCAGCTCACAACTGCCAGTGTGCCAGCTACAGGGGATCTGATGCCGTTGTGGGCATTTGCGCTCAAATGGCATATACAGGCATACACTAAACATAAATAAAAATAATAAATAAATGAATACCACAAGAGCAATGGGATGAACCCAACACAAGACACAGGGGACTTGTTCATCACTGGGAAAGGAAAGAATGTTCATTTCATGTTGAGAAAAATGAAGCTGGACCCCCAATTCCCAAATACACAGAAATAATTCCAGCTAGGTTAAATGGGGGAGGGGCCAGCTGCCAAGATCTGTCCCCTCTTCCTGACTAGTTTTCCTCCTACTGCTCACACCCTCTGATTATCCCATCTAGTTCCCAGGTGCTGTGAACTGACTAAGGACCCCTTTCTTATTCTGGAGAATGGATTCTTGGGGAGCTTGCCCAGGTCCCTCCCAGATGTTCAAATCCTAGGTGACCTAGAGAGAGAGACTTCATGCCACCCTTCTTCCTTTACTGCCCCAGAAGGCCCTCATTGGCCACACCCCTCACCACTGGACCTTGGAGTTTGAGGAGGAGAGCACAGACCACTGCTCTAATTCAGGCCCAGTTGTGACCTCTAAAAACTGTATGCTGAATCCTGACCCCCAGAACCTCAGAAATGTGACTGTGTTTATAGACACAGCCTTTGAAGGAATAATTAAGATAAAAATGAGGTCTTGTTGGTGTACCCTAGTCCAATATGATTGCAGCCTCGCATAAAAGGGAAAGTAGAACCCAGCTCCAGAGAGCAGAGACAACCAACTGTTTGAGAACAAGAAGAAGCCGGGTGCCACCCCAGGATAGAGACCCCAGGAGAAACCCAACCTGTCAACACCTGATCTTCAACTCCAACCTCCAGAAGAGACAAAACAGAATTCTGTCGTCTACAACCCCACCCCAGTCTGTTGTGTTCTGTTGTGGCAACCCAAGTGAATGAGTACAGCCTCCCTCATTTCCTAGCCGAACCGAGTGTGGAGTGGGGGGAAGGGCGCCACTGGCCCTGGGGACCCAGAGCTGACTACAGAGCAGGGCGTTGTACCCTGGCTCAACTGGTCTCTCCACCTGGAGTTTCTCCTCCCCACTGTACATAGCATTTATTTATCCTGAACATGGCAGGGACTGGATTTCCCACAGAAGTGCCTTTGGCTCGGCTGCTCCACCTACCCAGCAGGAGCTAGACAAACTCCCTGGCTTGTGCTCTCCGTTACAAGCTAAGTCGGGGTTTCTCAGACACTCAGGGCCAGTTCTTGAACTTCACCCCTAAAATGCCCTCTTCAGTAGGCCTGGGGTGGAGGCCCCACAATTCACCTCTCTGGCAAATGTCTAGCTGAGGAGATCAGGTGAAGTAGCCCAGCCAGATCCCTCAGCCCAGGCCCCTCACTTGCTCTCCTCTGTCCCAGGAACGATTTTCCTATTCTGCACCCGGCTCACTTGGCATTCTGTCTCCCCTGGTCCTGCCAGGAATTCCCTGCTGTCAAGTCTGACCCCGCGGTTAGACTAACTAGACTAAAGACAAGTTAGGCTAAAGTTGAGAAGTTATGCTATTTTTAAAGGAGAAGCTTTACTGGAATCTGTACCAGGCCTGGAGGCCTCTCCTAAAACACAGCTCTCTAGGCCCAGGCTCAAACTCAACACCCAGCCATGGTCACCCTCTTGACCCACAGGTGAACTGACTGTTCAGAGAGAAGAAATGGGAAGATACAACACCCAAGAGCAGAGGCTGTGTTCCCACCAGCCCAGGCTGCTCTGTCTGAGCCCAAGTGAACCCTCCTTTCCCTTTACTCCGCCCCACTTTCTTGTGACCCCAGCTAGTCCCTGGCATTTGCAGCTAACGCTGAAATGGTCTCAAGGGACTGTACAACTGGGAGAAAAGGGAGTAGGGAAAGAGGCAAGGGAATGAGGGCAGGAGGAGCCAGGAAGCTGGGGGCGGGGCCTCTCGAGGAACCTGCACACGTGTACCACCACCATCCCTTCCTCTGACCCGCTGAAGGCCCAGGTGAAAGGCCCTCGCTGAAAGGAGCCAACCCCAGGCTTCCCTTTGAGATGGCGGAGTGCTTCAGACACAGATGGGTTAGTTAACCGGCCCGGGACTGAAAGCCAGCTACCAGCCCCAAGACACGGCGTTTCTGCTAGCAGCATTCAAAGCTGCTGCTGTGTACCACGGCTGGGGGCGGAGCGGGGGCTGGTATGGGTCCTAGAGTGGACCACTGACCTTCCCAGGTCTGCTCCAAAAAGCATTAGGACTCCATAGGGAACTAACAGCTTGAACAGCTGTTGCAGAGGCTGAAGACCCTGCCTGGAAAAGATTCGGTGGGGGACGGCGCTGCTGGAATCAGGATTGGCTGTTGAGTTGGAGTTGCGCCGCCTGCTCCCATGTCCGCGGCTGAACACCTGGACCCGATTCCTGACAGCTTCATCCTGCAGCCGCCGGTCTTCCACCCGGTGAGTAGTCTTAACTCAGTTGAGGAATCAGCTGAATTCCAGCTTGCATGGGAGTGACTGGGCTCCCAGGGTCTTTGCCTCTTCAGTTTGTCTCTTCTGAGCGGGGTGGCCAGAAGAATGGAGGTGGGATTGTTGAGAGAGACGCTAACGACTAAGGGTAGCTGCTTCTCCGAGCTGGAAGGAAGGGCCTGGGACCGCTCCCAATCAGGAGAAGTGGAAATCCCTCTCTCCTTCCTCCCGTTCAGTGCCCAGGAGACTGCAGCCCAGCAATGCTCTACAGAAGGCCCAGCTCCCAGCAGACACCGCCACTAATGAGCACGGGTTTTTACCTTGCCCGGCTTGGTCGTCTTGTCCCTAGAGGACTCCATCACTCAGTTAATTAACGCATTCTGCCAAGAGCCTGGGAACTGGAAGCCACTGTGCTGCTGGGTCCTGCAAAGCTGTGGGTACCATGCCATGTGGAGAGCCTGGCCTCTGGCGTCTCCCCAGGCGCCTGCGTAATGGGCTGAAGTACCGGAAATCTCCTGGGCGCCCATCGCCTCTTCACAGGCTAAGAACCACCCCCTGGAGGGCCTCCCTGGGGTGGTCTGGGTTCTCTGATTACCACTGGGTGTTGACAAGAAATACATGAAGGCTGACGCTGTGACCCTGCCACGGGGTTCACCTGCTGGCCTGTTGGCAAGCCTTTTGCAGAGCTCCCACAGTGCTCAGATAGTTGCTGAGTCTGTTGAAGGGAAAGGCAATGAGGCTCCAGTTATAAGGGGCTATGGTCTTAATGGGAAAACATCTAGCCAGTGCCTCTATACTAGGGAGCCGAGGGCCAAGCTAGTATGGTGAGCTAAGTGCTCTGAGAACTCGGGAGAGGAAAAGCAAAACGGTGTCCAGATGGAGAGAGAGAAAAAAGGGTGAGAGGGAACAGGCCCAGAAAACGAGGTGAAAAGTGTATGCGTACTTTAGGAAGGTCAGGTGTAGCACGATTAATAGAAACTCAGAGGCAGAAATTGGGGTTCAACCTGAAGACCAGAAAAGCAAAACAGCCAGCCACTGGTTCTTACCTCGACCTCAGTCCAAAATGTTGATCTTGCCTCCAGGAAGCCTCAGAATGAGACTGAGCCTGAGAGCTGTCTCCTCCCATTTTATCATCCTCTCTAGTTCTGGGATTAAGGACGTGCACCACTACCACCTGGTTTCTATGTGTGGCTACTGGAATTAAAGGTGTGTGTCATTGCTGCCTGGTCTGTATGTCTGGCCAGTGTGGCTGTTTTACTTTTCTGATCCTCAGGCAAGCTTTATTTATTAAAATACAAATGAAATGCCACTGCAGCCAGGCACCCTCTGTGTGAGAAAAGATGGGCCCTGGGGGTGACTGACCACTGCTGGGTATCTCCGAGAGTTCACAGCAGGGTCAGCTTGCTCCCAACTTCTCCATTCTTTCCTCCTCTCAGCTCCTAAACTCTGGACACTCACCAGTCCTCAGACGTTTCCTGCCCGGGTGGCATCCAGTGGGTGAACTCCTCAGTGGGGTCACAGTAGCCTGTTGGTGCTCTAACAGGGCGGTGAAGCTATATCAGGCTCCCCCCCACCCCGGGCATTGTGGTTTTAACATCTCTGCCCAAGACAGGAGAGCTTTGAGAAGACCTGTGATGGTTCATTGGACTAACCACTTGATGGGATTTAGAATTGCCATGGAAACAAATCTCTAGACAAGCCTGTGAGGTATTATCTAGACTCCATTAATCAAGGTAATGAGAGTCACCCTCAGTGTGGGGTGGCACCATTCTGGGGGCTGAATCCTGGTCTAAATAAAAAGTGTGCATCAGGATAAGCAGCAGCTTTCATGGTGGCCTGAATCCTGACTGGATACAATGTGACCAGCTGCTTCACACTCCTATTGCCATGACTTCCTGCCATGATGGACTGTCCCCTGGAACTGTGAGGCAGAAGAAACCCTCCCTTCCTTCAGCTGCTCTTGTTAGGGATCTTGTTAGAGCCATGAAGGAAGTAACTTACCCTGGAATATCAGAGAGAAAACTGGTCTTCCCCACAAGGACACTTTCTCTTGAGGGCTTATTAGTTACTTTGTCTTATTGCTGTGAAGAAAAAAAAAAAACTTAGCAGAAGCAATTTAAGGCAGGAAAGGTTTGTTCTGGCCCCCAGCCATAGGAGATGTGTCCACATGCAGGGAAGGTGGTAGGAGGTACCACTCTCATAACTCAAGTGTCAAGAATTGAAGGCCATGGAGGCTTGAACACCACTGGCCTTTGCCTTTTTATTTGGTCTAGGAGCAGCCTACGAAAAGGTATTGTCCCCATTTAGGGTGGGTCTTCCCACTTCAATTATCCTTACCTAGAAAACCCCTCACAAATGTTCCCCAGAGTGTGTTTCTGCAGTATCTGTAAATTTCATCAAGCTAAGAGTCGAGATTAACTTCATAGTGGGGAAGCTAAGTTTCCTGGTCTTTCCTCTCCACCACACCCACCCCTACACACAGGAGTCCCTGGTTCCGCCTCTAAGTCGGCTCACCCCGTTTCTCTTCCCTGTTCAGGTGGTTCCCTATACCACAACAATTTTCGGTGGCCTGTATGCGGGCAAGATGATCTTGCTGCAGGGTGTGGTCCCTCTACATGCACGAAGGTAAGAGGGACTGTCTAGGACTTGGTAGAGCCCAGATTCAGGGGCATCAACCTGGGGTTCCTCTCTATCTTCAGAATGTCTGTGGGTCTCTGATCAGAAGGGCGTCTCAAAAGTCACACAACGCCGCCACCAGGTTTCAGGTGGACTTCCAGTGTGGGTGCAGCCTGCACCCTCGGCCAGATATTGCCTTCCACTTCAACCCTCGCTTCTACACTGTCAAACCCCATGTCATCTGCAACACCCTCCAAGGTGGAGTCTGGCAGAAAGAGGTCCGGTGGCCTGGTGTCACCCTGCAGAGAGGTGCTAGCTTCCTCGTCCTCTTTCTCTTTGAGAACGAAGAGGTGAAGGTGAGTATAAAGGAGACGTATCAAGCAGCCCAGGCCTGGCACCCTACACCATTCCTTCTCTTGTCCAACTTTCCGTAGCCCTGTGATAAACAGCGCTGTGGAGAGGGGGCTAAGGCTGCTCTGGGCCCACACAGCAGTAAGAAAGCACTAAGGCCCCTGGGTCTAGCTGACAGAGGAATCCACTTCACGGTCAGGGCAAGCACTTGGAGGGCTTCTGCTGGGTGCCAGGCACTGTCCTAAACCCTTTACGAGAATGTGCCCATTAAGTCCTCCCCACAAGGTCTGAGGTGGATACTATCACAATCCCCTTACAGCTGAGGCAGCAGGAGACAGGAGGAGTACTTAATGCCCAGACTTTGACCTCCAATATGAGCTTAGTAGACAGATAATGAGACCTTCCGAAGGCTCCACAGGACAAGGCTGCTGTAGAGGGAAGTCCTACTGCATACAAATTATCCCCAACTTCCTGAGCCTTGGTTTCCTTCCTGTAGATAGGAGGAGAAGGATAACGGCAGTGATAACGGTGGTGGAGGTTGCCCTGAACTGCATGGCGACCATTGCTGTTGACAAAGTTCCAGCATTTCAACATTGTAGGCAATTCTCCAGCACCTCTTAACTTTCATTCTCGCTACGTGTTATGGGCGTTCCCTTATGTCTTTTCCTTTGGGAAATTCCATGCGGGCTTTGAAGGATGAAAATGTGTAAAACAGCAGCCTCTTTAAGCAAAATAATTCCTAGGAAAAACTTCCCTCCACTGTGGAACCATATAGCCGGATGATTCTGCGCACAGGAATCCTGTTGTGCCCTCGTGATTACACCAAGAATAGGAAAGTTGGAGATTTACTACGGACACACTTGACGCCAAGGATGAAATGCCTACAGTTCAGATCCAGGGCCTGAGGCCATTAAGGGCAAGAGTTCATTTAATAAGTACAGAGAAATCAAAGTGGAATAAGGGGAAAGAGAAAGACATCTTGATCTTCTCTCCCAGGAGCGTATGAGGGGAACAGGCCCATATTGTAAGACCAAGACACAAGGGAAGCAATTAGGGGACAGCTCGGCACAAATGCTGCATCCTGCCCCTAGTGATATTACCGTGCATGAGAACAGATCACAAGATATATGATGAAACCCACTTTAAGAGTTTTATTAACAAAGAGAAGGGAGAGGGAAAAAGTGGGTGGTGGGAGAGTGTGGAGTGGGCGTGTCTGTTTGTTAAAGGCTGTTTAGTGTATGCGCATAGGGGTTCACGTAGCCACATCACACAGAGATTACGGTGACCACTCTGCCCATAGATTACCTAGGGCATAAGGCCCTAGGGTAACTAAGTAGTTTGCATGAACGTTGATGGCGCATGTGAAGCCATGGGACCCAGAAATGCTAATGCCTGGGTGACTAAGCATTCTGCCTGAATGATGATGGCCGTGGGACCCCGGATGTAATAGAAATAACAACACCTAGAGGAGTGAAAATTGCTCTTAAATTGTAGTGGAGTGTCTGGGCCCCAGAAAAAGTCCTTTTCCCAAAGTCATGCATTTGGTTAAAGGCCTCCATTCCTTCAGGGACTTGAGGAAAGTTCCTACTTGCTAAAAGCGGTCATTCTTATCTCTAGCGGGAGCAACTTGCCGGCCCCATTGGTGTAAGAGGCTACTGGTGGAGTTACTGACCCTTTGAGCACAGTAGGCATTTAAATACTTGCTGAACTCAATACCTTTGTCTCAGGAAAAAGGTGTAACGAAGCTAACGGCCGCTTTTGCCCCTGAATCAGTGAGCCTGAGTTCACTCTTGCCTGTGGCTAAATTAAGCACAAAAGATGTAACCGTTTTCAATAAACTCGATGGCAGCCATCCTGATTCACCCTCAGATTTTGTCCATCTCCCCATCCCCAAATCCCAACCCCAACCCCAACCCCCGGGATCCATATTTCCTCTTTGCTACCTGAACCCTGCCAAAGCAGGTCTCCAGCAGGCAGGGGCAATGATAATGATGACAACTCACACTGGCTGAGAAGGGAGAGCTCTGTCAGAGCGCGTGGACAGTGCTCTGGCTAGGAAGGGAGAGCTCTTTCAGAGCGCGTGGGCAGTGCTCTGGCTAGGAAGGGAGAGCTCTGTCAGCGCGTGGACAGTGCTCTGGCTAGGAAGGGAGAGCTCCATCAGCGCGTGGGCAGTGCTCTGGCTAGGAAGGGAGAGCTCCATCAGTGCGTGGGCAGTGCTCTGGCTAGGAAGGGAGAGCTCCATCAGCGCGTGGACAGTGCTCTGGCTAGGAAGGGAGAGCTCTGTCAGCGCGTGGACAGTGCTCTGGCTAGGAAGGGAGAGCTCCATCAGCGCGTGGACAGTGCTCTGGATCGACTCTGCCACCTACAGCTCTACAACCTTGGGCAGATAACAGAAGTTCATCTGTACAGTGCACCTGTCTTGCAGAGTTTGGAAAAAAGCCAGTAGAGTCTAGGGAGGCTTGCTAGGGCCTGGGAGAGATTATGCAAACAGTGAATAGTGGGCCGCTCTTCAGCTGGGCTCTGTCTGCTTCGCCAGGTGAGTGTTAATGGACAGCATTTTCTTCACTACCGCTACCGGCTCCCACTGTCACGTGTGGACACCCTGGGCATATATGGTGACATTTTGGTGAAGGCTGTTGGATTCTTGAACATCAATGTAAGTTTTCTTGGAGCCAAGAGTGGGTCAGTGGTGGCTTCTGACTTCCCCTGATCTGGACAGGTCTGGGGCTCGCTCACTGACCCCAGACTGAGAGACAGAGGGAGAGCTTACATGCCCCAGATAACTGAGAGAGACAAGTGCATAAGGTGTCAGAAATGAATGGGTGGGAAGAAGAGAAAGTGACTTCAGTAAGGAAGCCCTGGAGCCATAGACAAGAATTTTTCCTGTTGGTGGAATCTGCTTGTCACTGAGGGGTCAAAGGATTCGGCACGTCAGGGTCCATGCAAGCTGCAGTTTGAAAGATAGACCCTGTCTACCCAATTAACTTATTCAAAATACAGCTAAATGTGTGGCTCAGTGGTAGAGCACTGCCCTGGCAAACACAAGGCCCTAGGTTCAAACCTCAGGCCAAAAACAGCCCCGGGTTGGTTCAGTAAACCTGAGGTGGGGCCAGGAATAGAAATATTCAACACAGCAGCTTTAAAAGGCATGAGATGCAGACAGGGGCTTACAGTGGTCCCAAAGGCTTGTGGCTCTTTTTTCTTTCTTAACAGCCATTTGTGGAAGGCAGCAGAGAGTATCCAGTTGGATATGTGAGTTTCTTCTGTTTTTTTTTATTATATTTATTTATTTTGTTTATGTAAATACATGTGTCCATGTGTGTATGATGAGGAAACCATGTGTGTGTGGAGGTCAGAGGACAATTTGTAGGAGTTTCCTTTCCCCACATGTGTCCGGGGAAGGAAGTCAGTCGTTAGGCTTGATGGCTCCCCAGCACAGATATCTGAGTTTGGGGAGCAAGGCTGGACAGTCATGCTTAGATGCCAGCTGGCCTCTGTCCTTCCAGCACATGGTCGCACAAGGCCCAACTGACCCTTCCCTCACTGCTGTGGACACCGGCAATATGCCTGGCTCCCTTCAGTCCCTGGAAAGCCCGGATTTGCTTCTCCTCTCCTATCTCCAAGGTATCTAGCTACCTGCAGAGGCCCATGATGCCCATTGGAAAATACTTTCTATGGAGTTTTAGCTCCTCAGATCAACCCTGCAAGATGACTGAGGTTGGCTCACAGGACAAAAGAGGGAGATGAGAGCCATGACCTTGCTAGAGATGTGGGATGGCAGCTCCACCCTCCTTCCACCTCTTCCACCACTCAGAGAGGGTATCTTAAGATTCAAAGGATCCCCCACTGGGAGCCCAGTCACTCACCTGCTGCTAGGAGAGGCACAAACTCTGTGTCCCCCCAGTGCAAGCAAAGTAGGAAGACCTCTTTGCCCAGACAAATGCTAACAGCCTCCCCTGCCTCTTTCTCTCTCCTTCAGCCCTTCCTGCTGTATAGCCCCAGACTGGTAAGTGGCCCTGTTCTAGGTTTCTCCTGGAGTGTAGTCCCATTTCAGCTCCCTGACTTCCCGGACTCCGTTTCTCTGTAGAACACCACATCAGTGGGAGGGTGAGGCAGCTCTAGGCTGAACTCCAGGTTCATCTTACCCTCTTCACTTACTCTGCAAATGGGTATTTAATACTTCCCTGTGACTGGCTCAGTGCCAAGCACTAGGCTATAGCATCCATCCAGTCCCAGACCTCCAGTTGCTCATAGGTGACAGAGTGACAAACTACCGCATGCCTGCTGTATATGGTTCAGAGCACATCTGTAGAAGGCACCAGGACACTGAGCACAACCTGGAGGTGCTTACTATATGGGCAGGACTGAGTCTCCTAGCTGCAAGACTCTGGAGAAACTCACCTACCCTGGTGTCCCTGGGTCCCTGAAGGTAGCCTGCTGGTGAGGGACCCTGACACCCCTATGATCACCATCTCAGTCATTTTCCATCTCTGTCAGGAGGTGCCCTGCTCACGCACTCTTCCTCGGGGTCTCTGGCCTGGGCAAGTCATCGTAGTTCGAGGACTGGTCTTGCAAGAGCCAAAAGAGTAAGTATTTAATTTCTAAAAAAGGAAGGAAGGGAGGGAGAGAGGGAGAAAAGGAGGGAGGGAAGGAGAGAAAGAAGGAAGGAGGGAGGGAGGGAAGGAGGGAGAAAGGGAGGGAGGGGCGGACCCTATGGTTAAGTTTCCAGCATCACCATTTAGCCCCTTATTACAGCAGAGCAAAGAGAAGTAGGTTAGCCCAGGTTGTAAAGATTATGACCAGGGTTGGGGCTGGGAACGGTAGCCCCAGTCATGGGTGGTGCATCCCTGTGGAGTGAACTAGCTTCACATCACAAGCCCCAGAAAGGAACCTTTGCAGTTGAGACCCAGATAGGAGATATGGCCTCCTACTTTTTCACAATGCTTGGTTTAGGAAACAAGTTACCCTAGAAAGGAAGTGTTTGGGAGCCAGAACCTAGAGGCGGCTAGAAAATGGATGTTTCCTGGCTTCTCCTCCAGTGGATACTCAAACCCCGACCTGTAGCTTTGATCCATTTAGACCAGAGGCTTCAGTGTCCCCCAGTGTCACCCTGACCACATTCAACAGAGCCCTAGACTTGGTAAGAGATTCCCTCTAGATGCCCATTAAAACTCTGGAGCAGGAGAGATGACTTAGTATCTAGGAACTCTCCCAATACAAGTCGAGGGCTGGAGTTCAGACATCAGCACCCATGGAACAAGCCAGGTACACTCATAACCCCCAGCACCCATGGAGACAGAGACAGGAAGAACACCGGGGCCTGCTGGCCTCTAGCCTCACTGAGAAGCTCAGCGAGGGAGCCTATTTCAAAGAAATAGCAGAAAAAAATAGAGGACACCTGACACCCTCCTCTAGTCCTGGCATGTGTACACACACACACACACACACACACACACACACACATACACACAAGCAAACACAAATAATTAAAAAGATACAGGTGCTGTATTCTGTAATAACTCTCTAAGCAAAGTACCATTTTCATACTCATCTGCTGTTCTGCACAAGCAACTTACATGTTTTTTCACTTAATTCCAACAGCCCAAGACGAGAACAGCACTCTTGTCCTCCCTAATTTACAGACGAGGAAACACACGGAGATTAAGAGACTTGTCCAGGCTGCAGCTCTGAAGCTACAAAGCATAACCCCTGCAGCCTGGTCCTTACTGCTAATCTCTTTGCCAATGTGTTAGGCCCCATCCTGACAGCAGTAAATGTTAGCTGCTGCTGTGACCACAGCTCTCCCCACTTGCAGAGCAATGAATGGAGGCTCCAGCTCTGCCCCCATAGGCTTCCAGCCAGGGATTCAAGTGTGATATCCATGCGCTATCTATGCCTCTGTGCTGTTGTGTATCCAAGTGTCCCTCCCACAGCCTGACACAGAAACTTAATTCTCGGAAGCTAGCCAATCTTCCAGTGGTTCTCTGCCTCCAACCTCTGCTTCAGAGATACAACAGCCTGAAGGCAACAGAGACTGATCCACTTCTCCTCCTGCTTCCTGTAGTTTCACCCTGAGCCTGAGGGATGGGGCCACCCATGTTCCTGTGACACTCAGAGTTTCCTTCACAGACAGAACACTGGCCTGGGTCTCCTCCTGGGGACGAAAGAAGCTGATCTCAGCCCCCTTCCTCTTTTACCCCCAGCGATTCTTCGAGGTAGGTCTGAGCTGTCACATCTCTTCTGGAGCCCATTCCCATAGTGATCTGGAAGACTATGGGCTACATCTGGGTATGGATGAGCAGACCAATACCCTGGAGCTAGGTAGGCAGAGCCAGTCCCACAGAGAGACTGTCCAGACATTGGCCTTCAGTACTCTATACTGATGCCAGAGACACTGGGCCCAGAAACACAGGCATAATGAATGCAGGTGGGGCCAAGCATCTGCTGTCTTGAAAAGCTGCCCTAAGATAGAGCACACCTGTAATGCCAGGCCTTGGAAAGTAGAGGCAGAAGGAGCAGGAGCTCAAGGCTAGTCTCAGCTACATAGAAAGCTTGAGGCCAGCCTGAGCTGCATGAGACCTGATCTCGAGCTCCCTTTAGGGCTCCAGTGTGTAACCAGGATTGAGAACATTTCCCAGTGGAAAGCAACATTGCAGATGGTGAACTTTAACCCCCGGGCCTGACTGTCTCTGGTCACTGTGTCCCCTCATTAGAGGAGGATTTCTCTGGTGGTACACCAGGGAGGGTTTGTCTGGAAGCCCACCACCCAATCAGGTTCTTCTTACCAGGTACTGCTTCTGTGCCAGGAGGGAGGGCTGAAGCTGGCACTCAATGGGCAAGGGCTGGGGGCCACCAGCCTGGACCAGAAAGCCCTGGAGCAGCTGCGGGAGCTCAGGATCAGTGGGAGTGTCCATCTCTACTGCGTCCACTACTAAGGAGGACTCCAAGGGCACCCCAATCAAAGAAGAGGAAGGGCAGCTGCAGCCAGGGCTCCACAGTACAGCCTCATTCTGCCATCCTCACTGGACCCTTGACCTGTCATCGCCACGTCAGGCCTATTCACATCAGGTCACAAGATTACCTCTACAAGGGCATCAGGGCCCCACGACTAGGGAAGGCTTACAGCTCTGTGCCTCTTCCACCAGGAGCTTGGTAGCTCTGTTTTCCTAGACTGTACTCAAGGGGAACAAACTTTATAACCTCACAAAGACATCCACACATTTATTGCATTTTAATCAATTCTGAAAGCAAGGATCCAGGTCAGTGTTGTGTCCCTGCACTCATCTTCAGCATTCAAACTCTACCTTGGTCCTCCTTCCACCACTCCATAGGGCCATGGGGCTGAAACTCTATCCAGGCCCAGCCTCTGAGGAGGCGAATAGAGTGTGAAAAGAAAGCTCCAGGCCTATGATCAACACATCCCATCTATCCTCACAGGCCCAGGCCTATGGTCAACACATCCCATCTATCCTCATAGGCCCAGGCCTATGATCAACACATCCCATCTATCCTCACAGGCCCAGGCCTATGGTCAACACATCCATCTATCCTCACAGGCCCAGGCCTATGGTCAACACATCCATCTATCCTCACAGGCCCAGGCCTATGGTCAACACATCCATCTATCCACATAGGCCCAGGCCTATGGTCAACACATCCATCTATCCACATAGGCCCAGGCCTATGATCAACACATCCATCTATCCACATAGGCCCAGGCCTATGATCAACACATCCCATCTATCCACATAGGCCCAGGCCTATGATCAACACATCCCATCTATCCTCACAGGCCCAGGCCTATGATCAACACATCCCATCTATCCTCACAGGCCCAGGCCTATGATCAACACATCCCATCTATCCTCACAGGCCCAGGCCTATGATCAACACATCCCATCTATCCTCACAGGCCCAGGCCTATGATCAACACATCCCATCTATCCTCATAGGCCCAGGCCTATGATCAACACATCCCATCTATCCACATAGGCCCAGGCCTATGGTCAACACATCCCATCTATCCTCACATTTCCATTTCCACTCAGATTTTATCTACAATTGCTCAATAGTTTGTGAAGCTTTGCCCAAAGTAACAACCACCACAGTTGCTTGCATGGTCTTGGCTAAAGGAAAATAGCCACATCCCAGAAAAACACAGTGATAACGGGGTCACGTTTTAGTCACCTAGCCTTGTAAACAACAGTGATAAAATTATAAAAAGTATCTAGGTGGGTCAGCGGCTATGCTGTCTATGTTTGTATAATGTTCACGCAGTGGCAAAATGGTTGAAAAATGAGTTTCTCAGAATTTCTCCCTGTCATAAAATGATACATGGCTTAGCAGAATGAAATAAGGAAGACTATAGATGGTTTGATTTGTTCTATTCCTGGAAGTAGAATCTGGGCTCACCTTACAATGGACTTCGGATTATACCACTTGGAAATGTTTCTGTGATACCATCCACATGCCCGTGGCTGTGACAGGTCACTGGGTGGAAGATGCTGATGGAGGATTCGCTATTTTATAACTTTATACTCTAAGCAGAGAGTCATTTTCTTCCCTCATCCATTCACCAAGAACGATCATACATCTATCATGAAAAAAAAAACCTCAATAAATATGGGGGGGGGTGACTTTTACTACCAATATGCCTTTATTATAATCCAGGAAAAGTACATGTCAGAGAAGAGGATGGCTGAGAGGCAACCCCTAGACACCAAGGCTCCGGATTCTGGGAAGAATATGGGCCAAAAAGAGAGACAGGCCACTTAGCCAGGAGCAAAGCCTGTGTCTGCTCTTACATACCTTGATGGTCTTCTTATACCTTTAAAGCCAACCCAAAAACTATGTAGAGAAATTCTTTATTCTCCTTAAAACTTTTTCTCAACTTTTCTCAGATACCACAATATTTTTAGATTTAGGTATTATTAGATACCACAATAATCTTTTTAAATAAACTTGTTAAGGACTTGAAAGATGGTTCAGCAATTAAGAGCACTTGCTGCTCCTCCAGAGAACCCTGGTACAATTCCCAGCCTCCACATGGCCACCCATACCCATCAGTACCTCCAGTTCCAGAAGATCTGATGCCCTCTTCTGGCCTTCACAGGCACTACATGAATGTGACACAGACATACACAGGCAAAACACCCACGTAAACAAATAAAAATTAGCCAGGTGGTGGCAGTAGTGCACACCTTTAATCCTAGCACTCAGGAGGCCGAGGCAGGCAGATCTCTGAGTTCGAGGCCAGCCTGCTTTACAGAATGAGTTCCAGGTAGCCAGGGATACACAGAGAAGCCTGTCTCAAAAATCCACCAAAGAAAAGAAAAATTTTTTAAATAAACTTGTCAGTTCCCACATATATATTTCATAATTTGCACTAGTACCTCAGCAGCAATTATTGATATAATCATATTTACTTATTTAATCTACTAAAGAAATAAACTATATTGAGAAAAATCTAATATACTACCTTACCTTGGAGTAAGATTTATTTGGTGCAGATGAATACATCTTAATAAATACATCGTGCATTTATTCACTACTTTGTATTATTTTGTATTATGTTCATAAATTAAATTGGCCTGTCATTTTACTTATTCATATGTATTGGTGACTTTCTGTTGCAGTGATAAACACTGAGACCAAAGAGACTTCTAAAAGACACGGTTAATTTGGGCTTATGGTTCTCGGAATTTGTCATGGCAGGAAAGAGCAGGCATGATGGCTGAGTAGCAAGATGAGAGCTCACATCTTGACCTATGCAAGCAGGAAGCAGAGAGAGCAAATTCAAAATGGCAGGAGTCTTTAAACTCCCAAACCGTCCCACCAGTGACATGCTTCCTCCAACAAGGCCACACCTCCCAAGTCTCCCCAAACAGCACCACCCTCAAGCATCTGGACTATGGGGGACATTCTCATTCAAACCACCAAATCATGCATGTGTTAGACTTTCATTGCTGCGACAATTTAAGAAACAATTTAAGGAGAGAAGAATTTTCGCTGCCTACAGTTTTAGGGTTTTCCACTCATCATGGTGGAGAGCACTTGGGACAGCTGCTCTCATCATGACCCGGAAGCCAGGGGTGAGATGGGGTGGGGTGGGATACGCCCGCACTAGCTCACTTGCTGTTTTCTTTTTCCTCTATGACTCCCAGCCTATCAGACCATGGTGCCTGCATTCAGGTGAGGTCTTCCACACTTAGTAAAGCCTCATAGACACATGGGGAAGCACACTTCACTCATCTTCCAGACATAGCCTAACAGTATGAAGGAAGTTGAAATCAATACTCAAAAGTTGACCCAAAAGGAATAGCAGCTGGTAGATACTACCTTGCCTTCAGATGGAGGCATTAAATCCTCTGGAATTTTCCATGTTAGCATCGGCAACACACAGACAGTGCCCTTCTATAAATGCCTTAGGCATGCCTAACTCCAGAGTTTGTCCTTAGAAGGCACTTGCTGTGGAAAAGTCCACATTCTCTGCTGGACTGGTCTTTGAGATCCAGGATGCCTGTGTAGGTACCAGTCCTGCAGGGTCAGGCTCACCACTGTGCTGGTGTAGCAGAGCTGCTTGGGGATTTCCATATAGTAGTAAACTATGGGATATTCAAACTCAGCTAAGGGAGGAACCTCCCCCGCCCCAGCTCTGTAATCCTGGCTCTCTCCTATTTCCTTCAACACATTTGTGCTCCAGTAAAAGTGTAGAGAAGCCAGTCATAGTGGGAGAGGCAGGTGGATCTCTGTGAGTTCAAAGCCAGCCTGGTCTACAGAGTGTTCCAGAGCAGGCAGGGTTACAGAGAAAGACCCTATCTCAAAGAAAAAAGTAATACGAAATGATTAAAAGTGTTGTCTAAGGCTGAAGAGATGATGGTTCAGTGGTCAAAAGAGGTTCCTAATCTTGCAGAGAATTCTAGCTTAGTTCCCAACATCCATGTTGGGCAGCTCACAGCCACCTGTAACTCTAGTCCCAGGGGATCCAATGCCTCTGGCTTCCATGAATAAAAGCACAAATGTACACAGAACGACAGAAGCACACATATACATTATGTAAAAATCTTTAGGAAATAAAAGTGCAGTGTAGAGTTAGCAATCTGAACTCTGAAACCCCTCCATGGCAAGGACAAACAGGCTGAACTCAGTAGGGGGCAGCTCAGTCCCCGCAACAGCTGGACTCAGAATGGACTTTGGCTCATCTCTTGATAGTGCTTCAGTAATCTCCTTCAGTGCTCAGCTGTGCCAGGACACTGGGTGGAAGACACTGATAAGGATTCGCTAAGGTTAGCCCAGAGCAGTGCAGGGAACCTACTGTCTCAGACAATGAGACACGATCTCATCTACGGGCAGGACATTTCAGAGCATGAAAAGCCTGGTAATGTTTTTTTTTTTTTTGGCTCTTTTTTTTTTAATTTTTTTTTTTTATTGAGAAAAGGAGAAAAAAAAAAAACAAGTTTCCACCTCCTCCCAGCCTCCCATTTCCCTCCCCCTCCTCCCACCCTTCTCCCCCTCCTCCCACCCTTCTCCCCCTCCCCCCACTCCTTTCCCCCTCCCTCTCCAGTCCAAAGAGCAGTCAGGGTTTTCTGCCCTGTGGTAAGTCCTAGGTCCTCCCCCCTCCGTCCATATCTAGGAAGGTGAACATCCAAACTGGCTATGCTCCCACAAAGCCAGCACATTAAGCAGGATCAAAACCCCGTGCCATTGTCCTTTGCGTCTCATCAGCCCTCATTGTTCGCCATGTTCAGAGAGTCCAGTTTTATCCCATGCTTTTTCAGTCACAGTCCAGCTGGCCTTGGTGAGCTCCCAGTAGATCAGCTCCACTGTCTCAGTGGGTGGGTGCTCCCCTCGTGGTCCCGACTTCTTTGCTCATGTTCTCCCTCCTTCTGCTCCTCATTGGGACCTTGGGAGCTCAGTCCAGTGCTCCAGTGTGGGTCTCTGTCTCTATCTCCATCCATCACCAGATGAAGGTTCTATGGTGATATGCAAGATATTCGTCAGTATTAATATAGGATAGGGTCATTTCAGGTTCCCTATCCTCAGCTGCCCAAGGAACTAACTGGGGACATTGCCTTGGGCTCCTGGGAGCCACTCTAGGTTCAAGTCTCTTGCCAACCCTACAGTGGCTCCCTTAACTAAGAATTGTGGTTCCGTGCTCCCCTGTCCAACCTTCCTTTATCCCAATCCTCCTGTTTCCCCAAGGCCCCCCCTCCTTCCCTTCTAACTTTTCTCTCCCCATCTCCCCTTACCCACATCCCACCCCACCCCCAAGATTCCAATTTTCTCCCCGGTAATTTTGTCTACTTCCCTTAGCCAAGAGGATAACTATATGTTCCTGGTAATGTTTTTTGAGAGCCCAGTACTGATTGCTAAACATGTGGGAACCCAAAAATGTGAACCTGTTCCACATCGTCAGGAGGTCAGAAATTTCGTTTCAGCTTTTTCAAAGTTGTTGACAGGTGTGGCTACAAAACATGATGTCCTAACCTGGTTACTTGTTGTTTTGGTTGTTTGGCCCCGTAGAGGTAGATCTGCTCCACCCTGACCAAAGTTCAGAGAATTCAAGCATGCTTCTGCTCCTCCCTTTGAAATAGGAGGCTTGACCTAGGGAGTGGCTGCCTGCAAGATATTTGATCTAGGGTGGGTTCACTGCCCAAACATCAAATACTTTTCTCAAGAATTAAAGACTTGAAGTCCTAAGTATTGGAGCAAATGACTGTTCTGGTTGTCCTTTGTGTCATGTTAAAACAGTCTTCTGCCTTCTTCCCCTTTTTGTATTGGGGTATAAAAGTGTATGAAAAATAAACGCAGGTGAACTCACTACGCTGGAGGCACTGAGTTGCCTTTCCGGTACCATCCAATGTCTCTGTGTGTCCTTCTTACCTAACATTTCTAACCCTCCCACTCCGACCCTGGAATGCACGAACCCACCACAGCTAGAATCCTGGCAGAAGTCACCCCCAGAAGGTGGATCCTGACAAAAATGGTGAGTTTCTTCCTTAAAAAATGAAAAGGGTGGACTGGAGAGCTGGCTCAGATGTTAAAAGCATGTACTGCTTCTCCAGATGACCTGGGTTTGCTTCCCAGAACCCATATCAGGCAGCTCACAGCTGTCTCTAACTCCTGTTCTAGGGAATCTGGTGTCTTCTAGCCTCAACAGACACCTGCACACGTGTGGTGTATATAAACTCACAGGCACACACACACATCCACATAAAACATAATTTAGTCCTTTTTCTAATTGCAAAATGAAAGACTTCCGGAGCAGAGAGACTCTCACTCAAGTCTCAGGATAACACAACCCCCCAGGAACTCACGAGAGACCGTCCTTGCTACAATCACATGAGGTTTATTGACAGGACAGGAGCCAGTGCACTGGAGCCGAAACTCATTTCCCACGCAGGAGTAGACCTGAGTAATTTGACTCTGAGTAGCTGGGAGAAAGGGTATTTAAGGGAAGAAACCGCAACCCAGTAATCCAAAGGGGATGGGGCGGGGGGGGGGGGGGGAAGCATCATTGGAAAATTCCAAAAATACCAGTGATCATTGAAAAATTCTGAAAATACCAGTGATAATCACAAGGGGGGGTAACTCCCTGTTTTTTAAGATTATTTTTAAGATTACAATCTAACTTTATCTTCAGCTGGTTCCTGAAACAGAGTCACTGAACCGGCTAACCTATATTTTTGGTTCTTCTCTCCCTGCTTAGATTTTTGGCTCTATTTTTTCTACTAGAGGAGTCTGGATTTATCCAAGTCTTTCAAAAGGAGTTTCAATTAAGAAATATCTAAACAAAGAGTACTGAAACCAAAAACACACATGTGTGCAAGAGTAAACAAGTGATATGTTTTACCGTTGTTGCTTGTGCTGGTGGAAATTGTTTATACGCCAACAAAAGAGGAAAATATATAGATTTTGATTTATGGAATTTGATTTATGGAATTGAGCTCCTAAATTTTCTAGTTTTGTATGCAGAGAGCAATTTTCACCCTCCCTGTTTGCTTTGTTCTCTGGGCATCCCCAGCTGGCCTCTTTCCTCAAGACTTTCTCAGAAGAAACACCCCTCTCCTTCACTCTGCACATTCCCCTGCTCCCGACACACAGCTCCTGAGAACTTCCCAGTTGCCTGCAAAGGGAAATACACTCAGGGGTAGATCTCTGCCTTTGTGCTAACGAGGTGCTTACT